CTGTCCCTCAGCTCTTCAGCTCAAAGCTAGCACTCTATCTCTTGAGCCACAGTGCCACTTCTGGCTTTTTTCTTTTTGCTTGTGTGGTGCTGAGGAATTGAACCCAGGGCCTCAGGCATGCAGGCGCTCTACCACTGAGCCACCTTCCCAGCTGGGATTCATACTTTTTTCCACCTGAATTCTTTGTGTCTGACTTTATAGTGTGGGAAAAATCTTCCAGAGGTGCTTCCTGTCCCTTTATATTGTTTTATGGTTGTCCCTCAGGACAAACACTGATCTTTTACTCATTTTTTTTTTTTTTGGTCAGTTGGGGGGCTTGAACTCAGTGCCTAAGCACTGCCCTTGAACTCTCAACAGAAGAAGAAAACTGACAATAATAGGGGAATATCAGATTCTTGACATTGTACATTTGTAAAAATATCACAGAAGCTTAAAATATCTATTACCCCTATTCCTCTCTCCAGCTCTGTGTATCAAACCCAAGGCTTCACCCAAGCTAGGAAGTATTTTAGCTTGAGCTACATCTCTAGCATTAGTCCCACTTTTTTTTCTAATGAGATGTTAACCAAGTAAGTTCACATATGTATGCCCAGGGCTGGCTTCCCTCCAGTGGAGATGGAGACTTGATGACTTTTCTGCCTGTACTGGCCTAGTATGTCAATCCTTCCAGTCTCTCTGCCTCCCTTGCAGCTTAGGATTCACACTGTTGTGGGATCTTTTAAACTTTTCTGCCTAGATTGGCCTTAAGCCAAGATCCTCCCATTCTTAACCTCCCAATAACAAGGGAGCCACCAATACCCAGTTTACATGTTTTGTTTTGTTGTGCTGGTCCTGGGGCTTGAACATAGGGCTTGGGTGCTATCCTTGAGCTTTTGTGCTCAAGGCTACTGCTCTACCACTTGAGCCACAGTTTTACTTCTGGCTTTTTAGTGGTTAATTGGAAATAAGAGTCTTTTGGACTTTCCTTCCCCAGATCTCAGCCACTTAAGTAGGTAGGATTGCAGGCATGAGCCACTGATGCCCTGCAATATATGCTTTTTTGTTGTTGTTGGGTTATTCTATTTGATTTTTTTTTTGAGCCACTGGTTCCTGGCAGGTTTTTTTTTTTATTATTGCGAAAATACTGTACAGAGGGGTTACAATTACATGGGCAAGATAATGAGATAATGAGTACATTTCTTATCAAGCATTGTAGCCTCCTCCTTTGTTTCCCCTTCCCTTGATTTTTTTTTTTTTTTTTAATACTGATACTGGGGCTTGAACTCAAGGTTTCATGCTCTCTTGGCTTTTTTGCTTGAGTTTGGCACTCAACCATTTGAGCCATACCTTCACCTACTATATGTCTTTATTTTTAAAGTTCATGTTATACGTATTACTATTGTATACTTTTACTTATTCAGATTTAGGATAGCACTTCTTAAAACCCAACTTAGGCAGCACTTGTAACTTGGGAAGATGAATAGAATATATATTCCAGGATTCTGATTTCTTAGGCCTGAATCAGTTGCACTTTTAAATTAAAGAACCAGTGTTGTGGGGGGAATGAAAATTCCTTAGCTGCGATATTTAATCTGCCTGTTTCGTTTATTTTTTTCTCACTGCATTCTATTGTTGTTTCCCCCTTTTACAAACGACAGTTTTGCCGTTTTGATTATTGTCTTTGTGCAACGTAGATTTTATAAAAGCACTTTGATACAGGTAATTTGGATGCTGCAGTAATATATAAGGAAACAGCTATAAGAAAGTGGGAAGCTTCACTTGCAAGGGAGCCAAAAGGAATAAGTGAGAGGAAATTGGGTATGATAGATGAAGCAAGCAGAAGTATAAGGGGGCATTTCAGATCATTTAAAACACTTAATGAGGTATTGTTTCTTAAGTTGTGGTTTTTTGTTTGTTTGTTTTGTCATAGGGCCTGAACTCTGGGCCTAGGCGCTGTCCCTCAGCTCTTGAGCTCTAGGCTAGCACTCTACCACTTGAGCCATGGCACCACTTCCAGCTTTTTCTGCTTGTATGGTGCTGAGGAATGGAACCCAGGGTCTTGTGCATGCAAGGCAAACAGTCTACCACTGAGCCACCTTCCCAGCCCCTGTTTATTAAGTTTTATATAGTTCTTCTTTGGAGCATAAATATGAAACCTATAAGCACTCAAGAGATTAGGCTAAGTGAGTTTTTTTTTAAATTCTTGGTGGTGGTGTATAGATACTTTATGGGGAATAATGTTCCCTTCGATTGTTTTTTAGTTGCAAGTGAGTAAACATGCGTCATAAGCTGTAGACTACAAAGACTGAACTGACTTGGATGTTTTAATACTGTAATCAAAGCTTTCAACAGTTACTTGACAAATATTTAGTCACATGTATAATTGTTACCATGCTACAAGGTAATTACAATTAAATACGTTTTAACCGTATGTAATGTCAGCTTTTTATAGCCAGATCTCAACATTTCTGAGACTACCTGAAGGAGGGGGAAAAATACAGCCGACAAGCTGTCGCACAAATCTGGTGTAGTGAGATTGAGACTCTTGGAACAGGGAATGCCACAGAGTTCTTTTCCTTTCCACCAATCAAGGCCATCTACTAGAAATTGGGAAGGTATAGCCACTGTTTCTGCTCTCTTTAACTACTTTTCTGCTTAGTAATGAAAGCTGGGGAAACAGAGGTCTCAGTCTAAGCTCTGCATAGAAATTTTCCTTGCTTTTCAGCCAACTAAGTTCCAGGTCTCAAGTTTTGAGCCATCAAGGCTGCTAACATTTGAGTTGTTCTACTAACCTGGATCTCTGAGAATTTCTGAACCTAAATTTCTAAAATGTTTTTCTCAATTTAGGTCATCTACAACAAATCCTGAAATAGGAGTATAAATAAGAAACAAAATTTAATAGAAGCAAAAGTAATGTTTGTTAGTAAACCAGATCAGAGTAAGATAGCTTAGAATATGCAGAATATGCTTAGAATATCAGACCTGCCTTCCATTCTACCCATCAGCTTCTAGCCCAAATTGAGAATCACACTTTTTGCTTCTTGGAAAATAGGGACAAGTCAGGTTCTCAGTGGAAGTAGTAACAACCATTCCTATTCCTGTTGTATGCTTTTAGGAATGATTTCTATTTTCTGCAGTCAGATTGTGCTTCATGACCATTTGTTGGTTAAATATTTGTAATTCAAGGGCTACTTCTACTGTATTATTTTTGTGCTATCTGAAAAGTTGCAATACTGGGATAATAGTTTTAGACCCTCTGTCAGTTTAGTATTGATTGATAGAGACAGTGCTATCAACTGTAATTCAGTAACAAAGATCTGTTTAATACTCCTTTACCATTTTTTTGGAGGGGGTCTGGTCGTGGGGCCTGAACTCTGGGTCTAGGCGCTGTCCCTCAGCGCTTCAGCTCAAGGCTAGCGCTCTACCCCTTGAGCCACAGTGCCACTTCCGGCTTTTTTTTTTTATGTGGTGCTGAGGAATTGAACCCAGAGCCTCAGGCATGCAAGGCAAGCGCTGTACCACTGAGCCACCTTCCCAGCCCCTCCTTTACCATTTATAAAGTACTTTTGCATGTATTATCTCATAATGCATGTATATGTCATCCTATGAGAGATGGTGATGGAATCATTTTTCAGGAAGAAAAATTGTGAGTTCAAAGAAGTTAAGTGGTATATATTATCTTTTTTTTTTAGTGATTTATTTATATTCACAAACCTAGAAAGAGGCTTAAAGCTATCTTTTGGTTTACTTTTCAGACCTTTGCAGTTGTTTCCTGTTAAATCAATTAATTAGCGTAGTATTAAAAGACTAAAGCACAGATAGGAAATTTAAAATCCAATAATTTAGTTTACAAAAATATTTTTATTTTATTGGACTTGAACTCAAGACTTCATGTTCTTCCTTAGGTTTTTTTTTTTTTTTTGTCAGTTGTGGGCCTTGAACTATGGGCCTGAGCGCTGTCCCTCAGCTCTTCAGCTCAAGGCTAGTGCTCTACCACTTGAGCTACAGTGCCACTTCCAGTTTTCTGGTGGTTTATTGGAGATAAGAGTTTAACGGAGTTTCCTGCCCGGGCTGGCTTTGAACCGAGATCCTCAGATCTCAGCCTCCTGAGGAGCTAGGATGACAGGCGTGAGCCACCAGTGCCCAGCTTTCCTTAGGTTTTTTTACTCAAGGTTGGCACTCTACCACTTAAGCCATACCACAACTGGCATTTTGGTAGTTAATTGGAGATGAAAGTCTTTCAGATTTGTCTAGCTGAACTGGCTTCTAACTGAGATCCTTAGATCTCATCCTTCCGAGTGACTAGACTTATGGGTGTGATCCACTGGCACTTGGTACAACAAATATTTAAATATAGTTTAGGACAATAGTGTAAGAATTTTTCAAAATGAATCAACTGTGTCTTTAGCAAATAAAAAAATCAGATATGATAGATCAGGCAAGCAGAAGGATAAGGGGGCATTTCACATCATTTTAACACTCAAATGAGGTATTTTTTTTAAAGTTTTATTTAGTAGACTTCTTTGAACCATAAAATATGAAACATATAAGCACTTGAGAGATTAAGCTAAGTGATTTTTTAAAAAAAATTCTTGGTGTTGTTGTATAGATGCTATATGGGGAATAATGTTCCTTTTGTTTATTAGTTGCAAGATCAGAAGTTAAAAAACATAAGAGGTATCGAATATATATGTGTGTGTATATATGCACACACATATAGCTAAGGAAAGAAAATTGAATGTCTTTTGAATGTTATTTAAGGACCAATTTGGCATATCTATTACATATCATATATGTACATATTATATATATGAAAACTATCTCTGTGAAGTATGCATGTATTTTTTATACTAGGTCAGTTTGATGTCTCATCAAAGATTTTAATGTCAAGTCTATAAGAGGAAATTACTAATTTATCTCATTTTCTTAATAATGCTTTTCAGATATTTCAATCAAGGAAGAAATAGCTCTTCTCCTAAGATGGAATCTGTGATTTGGGAATGTGGTTGATCAACTTGATATGTTGGCCAAATGTGCCCTATATAATGAAAAGAAGAGACAAGATGATGTCATTTTCCCATATTGTGAAACCAAAAACAAATGCCTTTTGTGAGACCAAGCTAACAAACCTCTGACAGAGCAAAGAGTGTTTAAATGTTTGAAGAACTTAACAGTAAGATACCGAAGAAGTGCTTTCAAACTGAGACCTGAAGGTGTATATTATTCTAAAATATGTATTGAGTAGGCCTGGTCATCCAAATCTCATTCTGATCCAGGAAGAATGGCTATGAGTTGGATCATCTTCTATCTTTGGCTCTTGACCATGTTTGTGGGGCATATAGGTGGGCACAGTTTGTTTTCGTGTGAACCTATTACCTTGAGGATGTGTCAAGATTTGCCTTATAATACTACCTTCATGCCTAATCTTCTAAATCATTACGACCAACAGACAGCAGCTTTAGCAATGGAGGTAAGACCTGATTTGCCTTTTGACATAGCTTATAATTGCTTATAATTTGATGCGTTCCATAAACAACAGGAAATATGCTATTTTAAATGGAATCTTATACATTTGAAAATTCATGTATTTGGTTCATACTGTAATAGAGTGAAAAATTCATGTTTGGTAACTGCTACCCTTGATCTATTGTTTTAGACATTGTGTTTTTACAGAGGAATTTGAAACACTGGAGACCAAGAGATAATAGCTATTCAGAAGTTTAAAATTGTGCAAGTTGTGATGTGATTACATCCGTGTTGTTTGGCTGAACCTTTGGAAAAAGAACAGACTAAGAAGTGCAGCTCAGTCATTAAATGTTGAATATAATGTGATTTTTTTTTTAAGAAAATGAGTCTGTTAGTCAACCCTTAGGCTTATAGTATTTCAATTATCTTAAGTACTCAAGATAATTTCCTAGTTATACTGTGTTCACATCCAGTTAAGAGTAATTCCCTTTTGTAACTGTAACCCTCTGTGTGTATGTAATATTATATGTAGCATATATCTATATCTATATATATCACTTTTCTAATAACAATAAAAAAGGAAAAGAAAAGGGATGACTCAAACAATAAAAAATTATATTACTTGTTCTTGGCCTCTCAGAGTTTTATGAAAATTGTTGCCTTATTTGAAGTTTTCTAATAATTCTTCAGGGACTCCTTAATGATTCTACTTCAGAAATGATGCACATTAATGGATGTAGTCAATAGTAGGTTTAAATACATGTGTACGTGTGTAATGGTTTTAGAATTGAGGACACTTTCTAGCAATGTTAAATTGCCCAAGTTTCAACTTTCCCATCATGGTTTCTTTGTTTATAAAATAAATCTAATGATGACCATATAGACTTTTGTAATTCAAAACAAAAATATACTCATAAAATACTTGGCATGTACTTAATCTGTGATAGGGGTTTTTTTTGTTTCATTTTTACCATTTATAAAGAGAATGTTTTATACTGTGGTGTTTAATTCATTTGTACAGTGCTTCTAGCAAATGGGAACCTACATGTTTTGGAAATTTTTTATTTTATAGTAAAACTTGAATTTTTATTTATATTTTGTGTCAGTCATGGGGTTTGAACTCAAGGCTGGACGCTGTCCCTGAACTTTTTTGCTCAAGACTAATGTTGTACCAATAGAACCACAGCTCCCCTTCTGGCTTTTTGTGGAGATAAGAATAATTCAGATAAGAGATAAGATAATTGGAGAGAAGAATCTCATGGACTTTTTTGCCCAGGCTAGTTTTGAACTGAGATCCTTAGATCTCATCCCCCAGAGTAGCTCGAATTACAGACCTGAGCCACTTGCCCACCCACAACTTTATTATTTGGAGGTAGGTTAATGTTCTATCTGGGGAAATCTGTGGAAAGATTATGATCATAGTAAGAAACAAATCATAAAGATGTCTTGAGTTCAACTTTTCTACAGAGGTTTGAACTCGGAGCCACACTTCCTTAGCTTGTTTGCTCACAAAGGCAGACTTTTCTGCCCAGGATGGCTTTAAATCATGATCATCTGGAGCTGGGAAGGTGGCTCAGTGGTAGAGTTCTTGCCTTGAGCTGAAGAGCTGAGGGACAGTGCCTAGGCCCAGTGTTCAGGCCCCACAACCGACCCCCCTTACCCCCCCAAAAAAAATTCATGATCATTTGGATTTCAGCCTACTGGGTAGCTAAGATTACAGGGGCAAACCACTAGTGCCTGGCTCCATTTTTTATTTATGTGCTTCATGATTTCATAATTTCTTTTCTACTTTGATCTGATAAAATGTTATTGAAGAAAAGGATTATAAAACTCATGTTTTCTGGAATAATAAAGGACAATGTTTTTATTTAAAAAATTCTTTCGTTATTATAAATGTGATGTACAGAGGGGTTACAGTTACACAAGTAGGTAACTAGTACATTTCTTTTTGGACAGTATCACCCCTCCCCTCACTCTCCCAAGCTCCCTCTCTCCATTCCTACCTACAAGTAGTATAGTTCATTTTCAAAGTAATGGCTGGTAAATAAGTACCACTGCTGCATTTCCCTTGTCTCTCCATTTCTGTGTGGACAATTTCTTTCTTTCTTTCTTTCTTTCTTTCTTTCTTTCTTTCTTTCTTTCTTTCTTTCTTTCTTTCTTTCTTTCTT